CACCTCCATCTCCTACCTACTAACCTCATCCCGACCCCTTGACCTGTCCGTCCTCCCTGGACTGACCTATCCCCTCCCTAACTCCCCACCTACACTCACCTTTACTGGCTCCATCCCCGCCTCTTCGACCTGTCTGTTTCCTCTCCACCTATCCTCTCCTCTATCCATCTTCTATCCGCCTCCCCCTCTCTCCCTATTTATTTCAGAACCCCCTTCCCCTCCCCCATTTCTGATGAAGGTTCTAGGCCCGAAACGTCAGCCTTTCTGCTCCTATGATGCTGCTTAGCCTGCTGTGTTCATCCAGCTCTGCACCTTGTTGTCTAAGATTATGTAACACATCATATAAAAACATCATGCTAACACCTGACACAAGCGAATGCTACCTGGTGACGCCTTTCTTGCTCTTCTTTTGCCTTTTCAAATTCTTCTTTTAGGGCTTTAGTTACAAGGGAAGAGTTATCCTCCAGCTGTCGTCGCAGCTCGTCCAACTCAGCTCGTTGCCTATGATTTATAAAAATAATCAAAGTAAAATATGTTTCAAAATGGGAGAACTATTTCCTACCAACTGTTGTACCAGGATACTTAAATCCAACTTTACCTTGAGAGGCCTAATGAGATTTCTCAACCAGATCTTACCAAACCTGCCTCATTAACTACTTGCCCTGCCCCTATGGCATCCTTCTTGCCCAAATCTAGCCGCATCATACCATGCACCATTCCCAGAACAACTTACTACTTACTGGATATCTGCCAGAAGACTAGCATTCACTGCATCAACATCACATTTAAAACGCTGCTGTGCGCCCAGATGAACATTGGCAATCCAGTGTTTCCCCTCACTGATATCATAATGGCTCAGCAGGCATTAGGCTTCGCAGGCCACAGGGGCTAACACTCCCTGGCACATACAACCCCCTTTTTCTCACACTTGTCACTGTTTAATCACCAGATCACAGTTTACCTGTCCTTAGCTACATCCTGTCCAAATGTCCTCTCTAAGTTATTATTACTTTGTCCTCAATGTCCATGTAGACATGCAGCTTGTCACTGCCCACTAGGGGAATATCACATACAGACAAGGAATCAGACAATTCCAAACTTTAGTTTTTATTTACTGCCAGCAAAAGCAAATGAGTAGAGACTGCATTATGTCCCCACAATGCAAACCAAATCTGACATGAAGACCAAAAACTATCTTGTTTTCCATGATGATCTGCAGCAGCCAGCTCTCATATATCGGAACTGGGTGTCATTGAGGTTCTGTCTGGCTTGTTGCACCTGACACAATGAGCTCTGACATGCACAAGGATTCTTCCTCCCAAATCGCCTTGTTTTCATCCTTGGAAGACTGCTCCTATTGTCCCAGTTCCTCAGCATCCAGCACATCACCTCGCTGACTGGTTAAATTGAAGCATAGAGCCCACTAGGATGATGAACCACATGCTGTCCAGACTGCACTGAAGGGTCCCCTTAGATCAGTCCAAACAGGTGAACCGCATCTTCAGCGGCTTCTGTTCCGCCATGCCCTGGTTGCAACGTGAGCATCAACTTAGTGAAGGTGCTGCGCTGGCCAAGTGACCAACTCATTACATCCAAAAAGGGAGTGCCTACTGACCTCTGACAACCTTTGCATCCCACTAACATCAATAGTTCAACTTTTCATTACATTCAGTAGAGTCCATCATCATATTTACAGGACAAAAAATGAAGCATCTCTTGGAAGTGATGGAGGTGTCATCAATAGTGATACCTGCTCAGCAATAACCAGCTCAATGACATCTAGTTTGGGTTCCATTAGGGACACTCAGCTCCTGACCTCAATAGAGCCTTAGGTCAAACATGGACATAAGGGCTGAATTCTAGAGATGAAGTGAGAGTGACAGACCTTGACATCAAGGCTGCATTCAACCAAATGCTACATTAAGGAGCCTGAGCAAAACTGGACTCAATAGAGATCAGGAGGAAAAATCTTTGCCAGTTGGAGTCATACTGATCAAAAAGGGGATGATTGCCAATTATTAGATCTGGATAATATCCAGGCTTGGGCTGACAAGCGGCCAGGATCCCATGACCAAATCACCTTTTATTTACACATGGGAAGTCCTTGACACTGAGAGCTGGCTCCGAGGGAGCTGGATCAGAGTGTGAATATGTCTGATACTCCTCTTTTTATCTGTTAGCCAGGGCTCCCTGATTGGGCCAGATTAACAGCCCCAATCAGCGAGCTCATATTCTATGAGGTCCACCTGGCTGGCCTCGTTACAGTCACACTCCCCTCCCCTGCTGTGTCTGAGAACATAGGCCAATCCTTTTTTTTAAAAATAGTGCCTCCTGGGGCATTTTAGCATCAGGTCAGGTTCCTCCGACTCTGTGCCAGATACGGGCAGCATGTAACGCACAGGAGCTTGCCCCATGCGCCTGGAGTGTCTTGGGAGAAATTCACCCCCTTTTTTGGCAGCAAAAGCATCAATGCAGCAAGATTCGCCGTGTCCATCTCAGATTCAGAGGTCTCTTCACTGTCACTGGGTCAAAATCCTGGCATTTACTCCCTAAGAGCATTGTGGGTCTATCTACAGCACATGGACTGCAGCAATTCAAGAAAGCAGTTCATCACCACCTTCTCAAGGGCAATTAGGGACAGGCAGTCAGCAATACCCATGTCCCATGAGTGAATTAAAATAAAAGCTGTCATTTGCTATATGCATTAGATTGATATCTCGGTGTGCTGTACAACAAGATGTCTCCCCCTGGTCAGACAAGCAATTAATGCCAAAACATTGAATCTTCTCAAGAAGGAGTTATATATAGTACCTGGGGGAAAAGGGATCAAAGAACATGGGCAGAAAGTGGGAACAGGGTACTGATTTGGATGAGCAACCATGATCATATTGAATGACGGAGCAGGCTTGAGAGCTGAATGGCCTACTCCTGTTCCAGTTTTCTGTGTTTCTATGCCAAGCAGCTTGTCTGTATATCTACGCAAAAGAGCTTGTTACTGATAGCCTTTAGCCTCAGGCTGAAATGCAAATGCAATAACAGATCTGGCACAGCATGGCAGGTATGACAAAGCTAAGTATGAATACAGCGATCATGCAGATAGGCGCTAATTAAGCAAGTGCTATGAGAGCAAGCAAGCAGCTCAGAGATGCAGCCTGGTCCAATTATGATCTGGGTGCCCTGGCCCTATAATGTAAAGTATTCCTGTAGCATTCTTTCAATGCTAGTTGCCAATGCACCCTGCATGGCAAGTCTATATTTCCTAAGCGCCTTACTAGTGGATTGGAGAAAACCTTCTAGGTTTGTGAGGTATTGACAAATATCAATGTCAATGTCCAAGGATGAGTGACGGAGGGGTGTATGAGGCTGCTGCTTTGGAATGTGCCCCGAGAGACAGTTTGCTATTGAGCAACATGGAGGCTGTTCGGAGCCATCAGCAAGCTGAAGTTCCTGCCTTCTATGTCAAGAATTTCTAGTTTATTCACTGCACTTAGCAAAGTAGGAAACTGAATATTAATAGATGAGTTGTGATGTTAATAAGGCGTTTAACAAGGAATAATCCTCTCAACTGGCAACACACTGCTG